TTCCGTTTAATCCGAATACGCTTTATTGTAGTCCTTTTTTCGCTCAACAAGTTGAACAGTAGCAATAGGTTGAAGTACATAACGGAGGTTAAAGAAAACACAAAACATACAAATTCCATAAGAGTTAGTTAAAAAGGTTTTTTTTCTGCTGCACATGATACGAGGAGTGGGAGGGTGAGGGATCAGGGGACTCCTTGAATAAACTTCCACTTGCGTTTAATTTTTTTTTTTTTTTTTTTTTACTGTTTGGAGAGGAGGAAAAAACAGGTTTGATGAATCAAACCACCTTGAAAATAAATTACATCCTCTACGTTTCATGTGCAAATATCACAGAACTAGTCGTGTCCTTTTTAAAATTGTCTGGGGGTCACCATAGATTCCACTAAACAATAAATATTACAGACATCTATAAAACGGTTTAAAAACTCAAAATATACACCGCATCTCTTAGTGAAAATGCGTCCTGTAGGATCCTGGCCCTATCTCAAACACTAAGCCTATAACGGCAAATAAACTAGAGTCATTTGTATCTGTACACATTTACAGTCATTCAAGAGAGAGAGAGAGAGGGGGGGGGGGAATGTTGTGAGAGATCCTCCTTGATCCGTGAATTACAACCCATTTAGCCTACAACAAGTGATCAGAGAGGAGATCCTGTGATTAATGTGCTGCCCTTGATTCCAACAGGTTATAGTCAAAGCAGGTGCAACTTGCAAAAGATAGAAATACCTTTTCAAAATGGTTTTTTTTCTTCACAAATTGATACCCTTTTCCTCTCATGTGTGCATCTCTGCCATCCTGTAGTCCTTCTGCCTCTGGGCTGTGAGAGGTGATGGCTGGGTAATAATAGATTAGAGAGTTCTCTAAATAAGCATTACCTTAGATAAAGGCATTTATCAATATACATACACATGTGATATCTGAGACGACGAGCACTTCATCACATGTACAAGTTTGTGCATGCATAATAAAACTCTTGCATGAATAGCTTTTTTTTTCTTGTTTGTTTGTTTTTTGTTTTCACAGTTTGTGTGTTGCTCAGGAGTCCAAAGCGGGCCTTATCATAACGCTGCAGCGTATGCAGGGTACGGTTCAAGTTGAGGTTTTCCCATCCCGGGGAGGAGGATGTATGCTAAGGGCGGCTGGAGTCCTGCTGAGGGCCAGCCCGTACAGTTACAAGGGATCATGTAGCCTGGGTTTCCCGGGGACGGATGTGAGTGAGTGTGGGTGTGCGTCCCGCCAGTGACACTGCCAGTCCCGGTAAACGCCGTGGCGCCTCCCGGCGGGTAGCCCAACGGAGACGCGTACGGAAACGAAGGTGGGGAAAGCTCAGTCATCTTGGATCCCAGGTCGAAAAAAGAATAGGGGTTCGCAGACATGGACGGGTTGAAGAATACCCTCGCCGCTGCGGCCGCCGCAGCCGCTGCAGCCTTATCAGGGTTCCCAATGATGGACTCGGAAAGTGCTCCAGCGGAAAGCCCGTTAACTTTGAGCGCGTCGTGCTCCCCGAGATTGTATGGCACAGGGAAAGAAAACTTATCTTTCTTCATCAGAGTCTTGGGCTTCCGCCTCGGTCTGTATTTATAGTCTGGGTGTTCCTTCATGTGCATCGCTCGCAGTCGTTTGGCTTCGTCGATGAATGGCCTCTTCTCAGACTCGGTGAGAAGTTTCCACTCCGCTCCTAATCTCTTGCTGATCTCGGAGTTGTGCATTTTCGGGTTCTCCTGAGCCATTTTTCTGCGCTGGGCTCTGGACCAAACCATGAAAGCATTCATCGGGCGTTTGACGTGATCCATTGGTTTAGACATGTTGGCACAAACTCTGCAAAAAACACACAATAAAAAAATAAGCTTAAATAGAAATAACCTGCAAAATCACACACACGACTCCCTTTAAAAAGTTTAAAAATCCACTTTTACGCATTTAAGCTTCACAGATGCAGCTCACGCATTGGATACTCACCTATAAGACTTTAATTCTTCATCCCACCGATGAATATCTTCAGCAAAGTACAAGTGGCAGCGTCCTTATGAGTGCTCAACTTATGTTTTCTGCTTCATGGTGGCATCCACCAGTGATACGCCTTTAGCAAAAAAAGAGAAGAAGAAGAAGGAGACACAAAACACCGTCTTGTTTTCCTCTTGTCGCCTGAGACTGTCAACCACCACTCTGCAGCAGCAGCGTTTACGCAAGTGGATGCGAACTCCCGCTTGCCCCATGTGAAATACAGGCTTGTGTGGCAGGTAGTGAAAGTGCCACTGGCGCATGCGCATTTGGCACGGAGCGCGCAGACGACTTGCTGAGCGATTTTTTGAAAAAATCCCACCCTGTTTGAAGAGGAAACGCATCTCTGTATTATATATCTTTATTATTATGTGAGTGCCTTTGACCTCGGTGTTGTTCCGACTCATTAGTTTCATATTTTTGAATTATATATTTATTCTAATGAGCAACTTGTCACATCGGGAATTGTTGGGTTGTGTTAAAGTAATTAACTTTACGGGATGCACCTGAAATACCTGAGGGTGGCAGCATGTGTGAGCCTCTCACTAATAATACACTGACACATTTGGTGACTGCTGCAGACAGGTGCGTGTTGTTGCATTGAATCAAACACTTTAAGAAGAAGAAGAGGAGGGAAATGAAGAAGAAGAGGATGAAAACGCGCGCTCTCCTTTATTTACATTTATCATTACACGCCTAATCGCCTCTTCCCTCTCTGTTCCATTTGTTTAATTGACAATCAAACCGGCTGGTGTCACTCCACTTCCTCACCTTTCATCCTCTCCGCCTGCCCCCTTTCCCTTCCCTTCCCCATGGGTGGCACTGCCATTGAAAAGTCGTGTGTAAGACGACAAGAGAGGTAAAGAATGTCTTCTTTAATTTTCTGATATTGTGGCATTTTGTCGTAAATACGCAAATGCCGAGGAGGTCTGAAGTGTTTCTAATCGCGCTTGGTGAAATTAATTACTTTCCTGAAATCCCCCTTTTCACTTTCACTTCAAAGGACTTTCCCAAGGGCAGCGAATCGACAACTGAAATTAGGTTGTCGAATATTCAACTAAGCAATTACAGTTATCTGCGGGACTTGTTGAGTAAATTGTAGGTTTAAGTGGTTTGTTCTCGCACCTTCTCCGTTGTACATAATTATATATGTACAAAAAAGGGGGAAATGGAGAAGGGCTGTATCGAACAATATTATAAATGAGGAATTAGGCTGTAGGTCGAGCGTTTAAATTAGGATATAAATGGATGTCAAATTCAATTCTCTGTGCTGTTGTTCTTTTTTTAACGGTTTACTCTAATCTAAGGGCAGTTTACACAATATACAGTGTGCAATTGTTATTGTTATTGTTATTTTTATTATTATTAAATAAAAATATGAGACAAATAATGACTTTAATAAGAAGATTATTAATAAGGTGAAAGTTGAGGTGACCTCTCCAAAAGTAGTGCGTAATTTACAAGGAGCGCCCTTTTTGGAAACTGTTTTAATTTTTCTCTTAAGCTTGTTTTATTGCAGCACAAGGAGGAAAAAAAAAAGCTCACTGAGGGATCGGGCTTTTGTCTCAAGTAGGAAACCTGACAAGGTGAGGATGATCCGCGCCAAGAGAGGACCAGATGAGAGACAAACCTGCTGCCTAAACTGAGGCGCAGCATCTCTCAACACCGTGCGCCCCTTTTGTCGGCTTGTCATTCACCTCGATAACATTACAGCAATGAAGCGCTCCACTCACTCCACAGGAGCACATAGCCTCTCATGACACAAACGGGCAAAAATTGCTATGAATTATATGAATAAGTTAGGCTGGGAAGTTCTTATCAGGAGTTGACAGTTACAGAGGTGTGCAATTCAGTGTACATGCTTTTCACATGGCCCCCTGCAGATTCCATCATTTATTTCAGATTCCTCTCTGCAGTTTTGCTTAATTTTATTATTTTGTTTTGGCTTGTTTAAGAAGAGAAACACTTTTAAATCCTGGCCTCTTTTTTCTTGCCTTTTTTTTTTTTTTAATAACATGTGTTGGAGGATTTCACATGATGCCAGGGCCTAGTTGAGCCTGTATTAACGGGAGCAGGCGCAGTCATGCAGCATGTTCCCTCCTCATCAAAATGTCAAGATTCGTTGTATCTCTTCCACAAAACATCTTATTATTTTTGCAGACTGAAAAAAAAAACATTAATTTATTCAATTTAGTAATTTTAATGAAGATCTGATAAAATGAAGAAAGAAGAAAAAAAATATAACACCAACAACAATACACACTGTGTTTTTCTCCCCCTCTTTTTACCTCAACCTGGGTCCTGGAAATAACACTTAAATAATTCAAGATGAGTTAGTGAGAGTGGGAGAATTACCTGCCGATAAAGCCCGGGTCCAGCCTCTGAGACGGAGCCAGCACTCCCACCTCACAGCACACTGATGATAAGACTGAATAGAAAAATATCATGCAAATAGAAGGCAGACAGCAGCAACAACAAGCCCATGGGGACATATTCCTACCCGGAGAGATCGCACACAGTTCATTCTAAAGTGCTAAAGCCATCACTCTGAAATAGGAGCCCCTGGAGGTGCAGGAATCTTCATGATAGCACCAAACAGTTTATTCTGCTCAACACTCCACTAACTCTGAGGAGAAAGCAACAACAAATTATAGAGAGAGTTGATGAGGATCCCCGGATAATCCCAGTTTGCATAAAAAAAAGTCCTCATCTATAAAGATAATTGTAAGATGTATAGCTCCTTTTTTTCTTATTCAAAGTGTTTACTGTTATTCTCCCAAAGTGGCACCATTGGAGGTGAAGGGAGGGGAATCAGGTCTTTAAATAAATTGATTTCAAGGGAACACAAGTTGACCTCTTGCTATCAGATGGCTTTCCTTTGACTGGTAAGAGAAAAAAAGCCAAGCAGGGTAAACAACAATATCTTGTGTTTGCCACTTCAAAACCCCACAGAGTCGAGAGTATTTACAGCCACATGAAAGTTTGCTCATTATCGGGGAGGTTTTGAAGAAAGGGAGAGGGAGGGGTCCTGATTGTGTACCTGATGTGGTTTCTTTCTGCTTGTCTGATCACAGCTCTGCCTGGATCTTCCCTCTTCCTTTCAGCTGCTCCCATGCAGGCCGGGGCCAAGACAAGAAGCAAATGCAAGCTCACAGGGAAAGAAGGTAGTCATCTCATTTTCATTTGAGTTTTTTTTTTTTTTAGTACGAGCACACCAATTGCTCCACTTTTTACAGCTGATTTTCAGATTAAGGATTTACGCTGCAGATAAACAGCACAAATCTGGGCCAAAATATTCCATTAGTTTTGCTAAAAACCCATTTAAAGCATGATATTACTGAAGCTCTGAGGAGGGAGAGACGTGATATTGTTTCAGACCTAATTACTGTGTATTTTCAGTTAAGTGTTTTCATCAGGAGGCCTATTTTTATTAATCATTCGCTGAGATAAATTGCAGGAGATTAAGACAAAGGTGTGCATATCACCAAGGGCGTAGGTTTCGTTTCAATATTGGGGGGGGGGGGACACATGAAACAGGGAGTTTGGGGGTCCTACGCCAGAAAATTTGGAGCATCAAACACTTGATTTCCTGCATTCTGGTGAATTTTATGCACCATTTTCAATCTTTATTTTGTCAAAATAAAAGTCCTCTGCTGCTGAGACAAATGTTCTAAATATTGTGTCCCCTGAAATCCACACCTATACACATCACAGCTATTTTAAACAAAGCAACAAAATCTAAAAAATTGCGACCACATTTCCAAGCAAAGCAAACATGTTACACACACACAACGAGGGACGACAGGGTTCCCTGCGTGATGCCGAGAGTATTGAAAGTCAATTTGTCACTATCACACGCCATTAGCTCCAGAATCTTATCTTAAGTGAGCCTTTGATAAAGCGCTAATGACAAACAGTTTAGCCTTGTAAGGGATCCAATTGATTACTATTTAAAGATGATTGCATTTAGATTAGAAGTCATTTTGCCTAATGAGGTTTCTTTACAGCTCCCACAATACGTAGAAAATATGCTTAAGCGCAGGGCAATATAATGATTGGATTGGTAAGGAGACAATGCCGACTTCAGCATCACTTCAAATGAGTCACACACAAGGTCTGAATAAATGCATAATTAATGTGAATAAAGTTGGTGTTTTTTTTGTGGTTTAAATATGTGACCTATTTTGAACGTTGTGTTCTCAAAATATATTCAATAAGTGCCAAATTAGTTGTGCAGTTCTTTAATCATTCTAATTATACAGTCTTTATTGCTCCTTAGGGCAGACTTTCGTGTCTTTGTCTCAGTGGGAATTATTTTGGTGAAGAACCAAAATATTTACTCAACCACAACCTAAATATTACGCATATCAAGAGGAATTGAGAAATAATCCTCTCATAGAGCACAGTATTAACTTAATCACATTAGTGAAAATACTATTGATAGTGGTCATGATCCCCAGTCAGGGAATCTGTAATTCACAATAAAACTGCCATACAAGATAGAACACACTGCAGCGTGTGTGTGTGTGTGTGTGTGTGTGTGTGTGTGTGTATTAAAGACTGGGGAGTGGAACAGGCAAATGGCCCTGAGGATTGTGTGTGTGTGTGTGTGTGTGTGTGTGTGTGTGTGTGTGTGTGTATGCTTGAATGATGGTAAAGAGGGAGGAAAGAGGAGTGATTGTCAGTTCAATCTTCGAGGACCTGAACTGACAGATACAACAAACTTTGAAAGCACATTATGGGAGGAGAATGGCTACACAGAAGGATGTGGAGTCCGCGAGGTTGATAAGACCTTCATCTTTAAACCGCCGCTTGTCAAAGTATTATACATAATCTCACACTGCAGAATATCTCCACACCCCGAGGGGCAAACAAAATAGTGGGAGCAATCAAACGACTTCCTCGATCATTAAAAAAAAAACCTACCCTACCCTTTGTGCAAAGTCAGATTTTTGAACTCTGATTGCCGCTACCTCCCACAGGGTGTATGTTTAGTTTAAACCTTCCACATATTCTGTCGCTGAGCCCCGTGGTTCAAATCCACAGATACTTGTTTCCCTCCAGGCGCCGAGATGACTTTTCCCATGATAGACTATTTTGAACCATTTAGCGGATACATTATCGCTGGCCTTTCTTCCTCATTATATTCCCCTTATCACCACAGCATCGCTGCAAAGCCCCAAATAGAGAGTTGTAATTAC